TTTCTCCACTCCGATCTAACGCCGTTACCTCGCAATGCGACGGAAGTGCTACGGGACGAAGGAAAAACGGTGGCCTGTGCTTCTCGCCGAAAGTGAAAATTTTGTGTGCTATTTTTTGGTACCGATTTCTTTCCTGTGCTATGGATCGAATTTTCTCTTTATATAATACTAGTACTAGTATTTATAAGACGCTTCGCATTCACATTTTCATTTCAGTTTGCACAATATTTTTCAGTTCGTATTTAATAAGACGCTTCACATTTCATTTGAAACCTGCTCCTGAACTCCTCTGACATCGGCCCACCACAAATTAAACAGAGCCCAATTTCCGCAAACATTAATTAACCCCAACAAAAGCAATCGAAAAGAAGCCCATTAATTATACTTTAATGGCTGCTTGTGATTTTGGCCCGTACCTGCTGGTAATTCTATCCCGTGGTAGCTCGTAAATTTTTGCCCATTGGCATTGAAAATCTCCGTTCGTAGTTGCTGATAAATTTGGCCTGTAAGAGTGATAATTTCGGACCATACTAGAAAATGGGTGCGCCTTTGGCGCACCAACTAAAAATAGCCCGTGAATCTTTATATTTTTTCATTTAGGATATATAAACATTGTAGAGTTATTTATAATTAGTTTAGTGTTTATTTTCCGACAAATATATTACACCTAGATAAACGGAAACCGGCAAAAAAAAATCTAAGCTCAAAATAACATCTCAAAATAGATGCGCTTTGCCGCATATTGGATCAGGAAGTAGAAAATATTGATGTGCTAGCCTATAGAATGTTTTAATGGTCCAAATTTGTAAACGTTTCGCATGCAGTACTATTTAGCAAGTCTTCGATAAAATTAAGGGTTAATTTGATCTGTGTCATTGCAAATGTGTTTATTCAGATAAATATATTACAATTCGTCTATTCGTAGCCATGCAAGTCAAATTTTACAAAAATGGAACCATAACTTCGCCGCCACGTTTTTCATCTTCTTCCACATCTGCACGGCACGTGAGACACACCCGTTAGATTCATCTTTTTCCTCTGTCCTTCCCTATTTTCTTTTTTTCCCCATCTCTATGGAACCATGCCATCGTAAATTTTACGATTTAAAAATAGAGTAAATTGCATCCACGGTGCATCAACTTGGCAGGTGGGTGCAATTTGGTGCAATATCTTGAAAAATGAGCATTCTAATACACGAACTTGGCAGGTAGGTGCAATTTAGTATAAGAACTTTATAAGTGATCATATAAATGCAACAACTTGCATGGTAGGTACGATTTTGATAAAGTAAATTTAAGAGTTATGCGACAACTTAATTATTTGGAGCATTTTTTTATATAAATTCAATTTTTAAGTATATTTATATTTTTATCCTAATAACTAATAACTGAAAGTCAATTAAACTGGATTTAGAAATTATTATTTCGGTTAATATTTGAGAATGTGAAGAAAAAAATTCTTAAAGGTAATTGGATGTAAATTGTATTACTATGTGCAATATAGTTCTTAAAGATTAAATGTAATATCCATAAGATTACTTTGTAATGGCATATTGACATCGTGAAAAAAAAACTCACATATCATATGCTTAGCCAAGTTGATGCACCAAAATAATAAATTGTTAAGTTCTTATACTAGAACGCACTTACTTGTTAAGTTGTTGCACTCGGACGTTCAATTCTCAAGTTCTTTCACTATATCGCACCCACCTGTCTGTTGTATCGTGTGTGCAATTTACTCTTTAAAAATATATCATTACTATTCATCTATTTGTTCGGTTTACAGTTTAAACCATAAATATATAACCATGAATTTTAGCATATTTTTTTAATATATGCATTCATGCGTATAGGTTGTGCTATGGTTTACTGACGGATTCTTTAATTAGTTTTTAAGTCACATTCATGGTGATACTTAAAAGCAAAATCAATTTAGAAATTAAAATAAACCTCACTTCCATCCTCATATAAATAATTCAGAGAAATTAATTTACCATCTTTGGAAATTGAATAACATATCATTTTAAATTAATATAAACATAATCATATCCATTCAAAGACATTTACTGATAAATTCTTATGAGACATTGTACAATTTTACATCTCACAAATCAACCCACAAAACTCAAAATATTGATAAAAAATGAGTCGTGAATTGAAGACTTATAAACAAATCTTGTCAGAGGTTGTAACTTCTAAACCACCATCCCAACTAAAGCATAGTTGCCACTGGATAGAGAAAGACTCTTACGATTCTACTCGCAAATTAGCAAAGCTCCTTGTAAATCATCCACTCCTCACTACCCAATTTTGGAAGTCCAAGGCTAAGTCAATGACCCATTAATTGTGACAGAACCACTCAGCATAAAATTTATGCACTTCACTGCGCCCAACCGAAATTAGCCACCCAATTGCCAACCCAGTACTAACCTAGGGGAGGAGGGATATTTCCAACATAAAAACTTCCTGACTGTATCAAAATTCAATGCAAACTCACTACTCCCTCCGTCCCTAAATATAATAACTTTTAGCTCTCAAGATTTATCCCAAAATATAATAACTTCTACATCAACATTCTCTTCCCAAACAATCACAACCTCCACCATTCACTTTTCCCACCTACCTTCACTACTCAACCAATCACAATCCTCCATCATTCACTTCAACCTACTTTGTTAATAACCGTGCCCAACTCTAAAAATACTTATATTCTGGGACGAAGATAGTACTTGTTACTGTAATTTTATTAAACATTTGATCAAAGAAAAAGAGAAAACATAGGCTATATTTAGGCGTTGGCAGTGACAGGCTGGACTAAGCAGCTTCACTATAGGCTGCCGAGGAATGCAGAACATATGTAACATTGGTTAGGCTGTGTTTAGTTTCTGAAATTGGAAAAAAATTTAGGGAAAGTTGGTAATTTGAAAAAAAAAGTTAGGAGTTTATGTGAGTAGAAAAGTTTTGGATGTAATGTGATGTGATAGAAAGTTGGGAGTTTGGGGAAGTTTGGTGTGAACTAAACAGGTCTTAGTTTCCTCCGACAAATTACAAGGCAACTACAAGATGAATCCCAGAATTACCTTATCCCAAATCTTGCCTTGATTTTTTCCCTTCCTCTTGGTAAGCCCCAAATCTTGATTTGAACTTTTTCTAGGCTCTCCCTCAAAAGATACGGAGCTATTCACGTCTAACTATAAAGTAAAAGTAGAGTAAATGACTCGTCTCAGGAAGAATACAGCAAAGCAACGTTCGAAAAAAAAAAGCAATAGCAATTAAAGCTACTATGTTCTGCTCTTGGTAAGATCATGCAAAATCGATGCCAAAGAACAGCACAGCTCGAGTAATTTCAGCCACAATTAAAGCTTTATTCAGAGTGAAAGCATGATTTAGTATGTTGGGCCATTGGGCTGAAGAGGGCTTGGTTGGCATGGGAGTAGGCGAGGTGGCTGAGGTCACCAAGCTGCACGGACAAGGCCTGCTCGGCGCCACCAGGAAGCAGCTGAGCGCTGACCAGCTCCGACGTCATCCGACTGCCGGCCGCCAACAGCTCCGCTGACACCTCCAAAATCTTCTCGAACTAGGGTGGTGCGGATGGGGCAACCCCTTTCTCCTCGCTGGTCCACCCTGGATCCAGGCATCCAACCACCAAGCTTGCGGCGGCAAGCTCTGGCACCTCCGAGCTAGGCATTGTTAGATCCGGTAGGAGCAGTTGTCGTCTGGAAGCGGCGACGTGCTTAAGCTCCACCGAGATGTGGAGGGAGGCGTGCCGAGGTGGCGCGGATGGAGAGAAGCAGCGGCGGGGGCATGGAAAAGGAGGAGTCGACGGCCGGGGCAGGAAGGAGGAGAAGGGGAGGGGGTGCGGGCGGCGTCTCCGCCACCAAGCGCGCCGTCACGTGAGAGGCGAAGGAGGCGGACGATGTGCTGGAAGACTGGAATATGCGCGAAAGGTTATCCAGATCGACACTTGGCAGATTTTTGGGTGAGGTCTAACCAAAATTTTAGGGCGCCACGTGGCCCAATCGGAAGGCAGATCCTAGACCCAGAAATCGGTATTAGAGATTTGCTGGTAACTTGGGTCGGTAGTTGCTACTTGCTAGTGCAGAAGTCTAGAGTTGAGGCGTTCACTTTGCTGCCATTTATCGGTGAAACTATGAATATGACAAATTTGGGTTATCGGGCATGACTAGAAATCATGTGGGCTCTACCCGCGCAGGTTCGAATCCTGCCGACCACGCCCTTTTTGGCTTTTCTGTACGAACATCCCCAAGACTCCTATTTGCTTTTTTTTTTTGTGTTCATTTTTTTTATATTTTTCAGTTTCTTCTTTTGCATTTTTTGTGTTCATTTTTTGTGTTAGTATTGATGCATTTTACTATTTATACCACATGCACATCCCCCATTTTGCTGCATTCCTTTTATATATAGTTTTCTTTATTATATTTTCAGTGCATTTTGCTTTTCTGTGTGTGTAAGAATAATTTTTTTTTCTATTTATACCACATGCACATCCCCTAGGCACATACTGTGCTGTGCTGGTCCTGGTCAGCTGGTGCGGTGGTGCCTGGTGTACTGTACTCTTTGTCCATTGAGCTGGGCCGCTGGACTGGCTTGATGGGCTTGATGGGCTGGCTTCTCCAGGCCTCCAGCTGGTTTGGCTAGTTTTTAGGAATAAGTTCACTTTGACTCCATTAAAAGTGATCCGAATCTAATCCATACCCCTAAACTATAAAACCAGATATCTTGACCCCTAAACTGTTAAAACCGGTGCAACTTGACTCCCTCGGTAGTTTTGAAGAGCGGTTTTGCTGACGTGGCGTCTATGTGGCAATGTTCACCTTGTCTGCCGTTGACGTGGCGTTTGGGTGGCATTAAAAATTAAAAACATACATGTGGGACCCATTCGTCATTCAGAAGAAAATTTTGTGGGTCACTGACATACGGGACCCACTGATATCTGGGACCCGCACGTCATCCCTTCTTATCCTCCCTCTTTCTCTTCCTTCTCTCTCTCCCCCACGCGGCCACGCCGGCGTCATGAGTCCCTGTCGCCGGCGCCTCCACCTCGCCACTGCCGGCACCTCCACCTCGCCACTGCTGGCGTCGTCCTCCCCGACTTCTCCATCGGGGTTCATCTCCTCGCCGGCTCCGCATCCATCGCCTCGAGTCAGCGTGGGCGGTGACGCTGGACGAGCTCCTCCGGGACGAGGCCGCTGCCGCCGCCGGGGGGTGGAGGTGGACGCCCCGTGCGCGTCCTCGTCTACGACGCGTTCCTCCTCTGGGCGCGCGCTGTGGCGGTGGCGTTCACGTTCTTCACGCAGTCGTGCGCCGTCAACGTGGTGTACGGCCACGCGTGGTGCGGCCGTGTACACGTCCCCGTGGAGGCCGGCGCCATCGCGCTGATCGGCTTGCCGGCGCTGGAGCTGGAGGGCTTGCCGTGGTTCATTAAGGTCGGCCCCGGCCCGTACCCGGCGTACTTCGACTTGGTGATGAAGCAGTTCGACAGGCTGGAGCTCGCCGACGACGTGCTCGTCAATTCATTCTACGAGTTCGAACCCGAGCTGAGCTAGTAACCCCATCAAAGCTACAGTAGCAACTATCTGCTGGTGATAATGAAATTGCAGACTTGCCTGCAGCTTGCTTGCCGGCGTCACTGTTGGCTTGCAGCTGGCCCGCTGCTGTCTGCCGCCTCCCGTGCACGCCCGCGCAGTGTCACGCCATCGCCATCTACTGTGCGTGTCACGACATCGGCTCGGAACACAAGTCAACCCAAAAGATCGGACCGACCATGTACCCACAGAGTGTGTGGACCCGGTAGTCAGAGACCGGGCCACGGTAAGAGAGAGAGACCTTGAGCACATTGCTATAAAGGTCGGCAGGATTGGAGAGAGAGGGATATGAAAAACATTGTACACAACAATTCCCAATTGATTCAAATCTCTCTTCCTGCTATCTTGTTCTGTTCTTTCTTCCTCCTCAAGCTGCTCTTTCCTCCCTCCAATTCCTCAAATCTCCACGAACTCGCTGAAGAATTAGTGTACTCATGACAATTTGGTATCAGAGCATCGATCCTGGAGAAGCCACGCTATACATCTCGCCTTCAGCTGCAGGTCGAAGCGATGGAGAAGCAGAATATCGACTTTGGCAAGGTCTTAATGGAGATTCAGGAGTCGCTTGTCTCGCTGAATCGGGCGCAAGGCGAGACGCAACCGCCGTCAACAAGCTGGACCAAGGCGTGACCAACTGGAGACCGCAAGTAGAAGCGGCAGTGAAGGAGTTGCGTGAGGAGGTGGGTGATATCCGCCAGCAAATGGACCTGCTCGGCAAATCGCAGTCCGCGCCGCCGGCGACGTCTTCCCCTCGAGTTCCGTTGACGGACGAGGAAAGGAAGGCGCCGTTGCTTCCTACGCCACCAGCTTCGCGCGTGGCTGCGGCGGGGGACAGCGGAGACAAGTGGGCCAGTGGCCGCCAACATCCACATGAACACCGGGGAAGGGCACCAGGTGTGGTTACCACCGTGGTCCCGACCTCGGTCAAGGGTACGTTCAGTTCACCTGCTCCATCTTTGGGAATTTTGGATTGGGAAAATGATTTTGATTCGGGAGAGCGTAGGTTTAACCATAGAGTCCCTAAGTTAGATTTCCCAAAATTTGATGGTTCAGATCCACATGATTGGAGAATGAAGTGTGAGCATTACTTTGATGTGAATAACACTTATCCAGGGTTGTGGGTTAGAGTCTCTATCATTTACTTTTCTGGGAGGGCTGCTTCGTGGCTGAGATCAACTAGAGCTCACTTGCGGTTCCCTAATTGGGAGGATTTTTGCGCTGCAGTATCTGATAAGTTTGATAGAGACCAGCATGATTCGCTAATTAGACAGATGGATCAAATTAAACAGACGGGTTCGGTTTGGGAGTATTATGAACGATTCGATGAATTGATGAATCAATTGCTAGTTTATGATCCTGGGGTAAATATGTGTTACTTGACACATAGATTTATTGATGGGTTGCGTCGGGAGATTAGAAATGCTGTTTTACTTCAGAGACCCAAGAATCTCGAGTCTGCTCTGGCTGTTGCTTCCTTGCAGGAGGAAGTGTTGGAATCATCTGACTCCACACCGGTGAAGGAGGGCAAGAAGTTTGAGAGTTCTGGGCAGCACAAGACTGGTGGAAATTTTAAGGGAGCTTTTCCTTTACCATTGCCTCCTGGTCGTCATTTGGGGGTAATTCAGAGTGCAAGAGTGGATGAGAAGAAGGAAGGGGAAATTAAAAGATTGTCTGCATCTTCAGAGAAAGTGTCAGCTCTTAAAGCACAGCGTCGGGCACAAGGATTATGTTACATATGTGCTGAGAAATGGTCTCCCACTCATAAGTGTGCTAACACTGTGCAATTGCATGCAGTTCAGGAGCTGTTTTCTGTTTTGCATGAAGCTTGTGATGAGGCAGTTTGCAATCCTGAGAATTCTGTTTTATCGGACAGTCAGGTGTTGATGGCAATCTCTGTACATGCAGTTCAAGGATCTGAAGCTAGTGGATGCATGAGGATGTTGGGTCAGATTCAAGGCAAGGACGTTTTTATTTTGGTAGATTCTGGTAGCACTGCAAGTTTCATTAGTGCTCGAGTGGCAGAAGGGTTATCGGAACTTTCTCAGATTGCTACTAATTTGCAAGTGAAGGTGGCTGATGGAGCTACTTTGCACTGTCAGTCTGAAATTCCGGCCTGTGAATGGAGCACTCAAGGACAGAAATTTTGCACTACTCTCAAGATATTACCATTGGGAAATTATGACATGATATTAGGAATGGACTGGCTAATGCAGCACAGCCCAATGACTGTGAATTGGGTTACTAAATCTCTCACAATTGAAGGCAGGAATCCAGTTGTTACTTTGCAGGGAATTTTGTCAAACACTGCACAGTGCGGACTTATTCCTTCCAAATAGTTGAATGGGTTGAAACATAGACAGGCAGTAGCAAATCTTGTTCAACTGTGTTGTGTTACAGACCTGGAACCTTCAGAAGAATTTCCTCTTGCAGTACAACAGGTGCTAAATAAATTTGCTTCAGTATTTGAGGAACCTCAGGGTCTGCCACCTGTGAGATCGTTTGATCACACCATTCCTTTAATCCCTGGAGCAATGCCTGTCAACGTGAGGCCTTACCGTTATACTCCATCCCAGAAAGATGAGATTGAGTCTCAAGTCCAAGAAATGCTGTCTAAGGGATTGATTCAGCCCAGCTCAAGTCCATTCTCTTCACCTGTGCTGTTGGTTAATTTCTTCCTCCTCAAGCTGCTCTTTCCTCCCTCCAATTCCTCAAATATCCACGAACTCGCTGAAGAATTAGTATACTCGTGACACGCAGTCGAGCCATTCGTCGCCGCCCGCCAGCTGCTCGCTATCGTCACCCAGCGCAGCTTCGGCCCTCACCGCCCGCCGCCGGCCGAAGGGGGAAGAACCGATGAGAAAGGGAGAGAAAGAAAGAAGGAAGAGAGGGAGGAGGAAGAAGGGATTTATGTGGGCCCCACATGTCAGTGGGCCCACAATTTCTTTTTTGAATGACAAATGGGCCCCGCATATATATTTTTAATTCTAATGCCACTTAAGCGCCATGTCAACGCCACATAGGACGAAGACCTAGTCAATACTGCCACGTAGACGCTATGTCAGCGAAACCATCATCCAAAACCGCCGAGGGAGTCAAATTATACCGGTTTTAATAGTTGAGGGGTCAAGATATCCGGTATTATGGTTTAGAGTCATGGATTAGATTCTGGTCACTTTTAAGGGAGTCAAAGTGAACTTATTCCTAGTTTTTATTAGCTGTATAGCTGGCCATCTAAGGTGAAATTTTTTGCTTGGAGATTATCACTGAATTCCATCCCAACTGAGAAGGTGCCTAAGCAACGAAATATGAGTACAACTTGTATATGTAAAGTTTGTGGTGCTGCAGAGGATACTTGGGATCATGCACTTCTTCATTGTACTATGTCAAAATGTGTGTGGGCTTTGATGGATAATGATCTTGCAGAACTAATTGCAACCACGAATATTAAAGATCCCAAGGATTGGCTCTTTTACATGCTTGATGTTTTAAAACCTGGAGACAGGACGAAGCTACTTGTATCATGTTGGGCAATTTGGCGAGCTAGACGGAGAGTTTTGCATGACGAATTTTATGAAAGCCCTTTAACAAGAATGCATTTTATTAAATCATATTTAGCTGATATGGATTTGATTAATATTCCTCTATGCCTACAGGATAAGAAGCACTTGACTTATCCTAAAGTACCAGTATGGATGCCACCTCCAGAAGATTGCGTAAAGATAAATGTGGATGCAGCAATATCACGATGGGGTAACAAGGGAGCTGTTGGGGCAGTGTGTCATACTGTATCTGGTGAATTTGTGGCAGCCAGTGCTATGGTCTGGGAAGGGCTCTCTGACTCGGCAACTTTGGAAGCACTTGGATGCAATGAAGGCTTGGCAATAGCTATGGGCTGTAATATGTCAGAGGTCTGTATAGCCTCAGACTGCCTTGAGGTCATTAGGAGCATCTCAAAGAAACCAAGGTGCCAATATTTAGCAGTCCTAAATGATATTGAGGCAAGAAGGAAGCATTTTGCAAAAGTAGAGTTTCGTCATGAAAATCAGGCTTGTAATTTTGATGCTCACAACTTAGCTAAGTTTGCTTCTACTTTACAGGAGGGGTGTTATCTTTGGTTTTCAAATCCTCCTTGTAATATGAATAGGAATGTAAATGTGGACAGTAATAAATAAATTGTCCGCTCTTTCTCAAAAAAAAAAAAGCTGTATAGCTGAATAATTTTGCGATCAGTGTTCGAGGGTACAAATGAATCAGCTATTATAAAATTGAGAACTAGGTCAAACACAGTTTTTTAGAAATAATTTATACATATTATTTTCTTATAAAAACTACACTATTAGAAAGCTAGGAAAGCATATCACATTTACATACAATCTATTAACTTATTAAAGTAATAAAAAAAGAGCCTTTACATTTGCTCCAACGGCCTAGATATCCTTATATTAATTGGATAGAAAGAAAAAAAATAAAGTCTATAGAAATATAATTTAAGAAAACAAAAAATTCAGAATTAAAAAAATAAGGAATATTGAAAAAGGATACTAGAGTCCATGTATACAATTTAAAACTAATTGAAGTTCGAAATTAAATGTTAATAAAATTAAAGCTATATCCCCGCAAAAAAATAAAATTAAAGTTATAGGTTACATAGTTCATATAGAAATACAATATAAAAGTAAATAAAATTATTTTTTTTAAAAAAATATTGGGAAATAGTTTATAGTCCATATAGAATATAATTTAGAAATAAATCAAATTAAAAATTAAAAAATAAATATTGAGAAGAGTCTAAGGTCCATATAAAATACAGTTTATAAATATAAATTAAAAAATAAAAATAAGAAATATTGAAAGAGAAATATATAGTCCATATAAAAATAAGATAAATAAGGAATATTGAAAGAAGGGGCTAAAGTCCAAATAGGAATATAATTTAAAATAACTAAAGTTTGGAATTTAAAAATAAGAAATATGAAAAGAAGGGTTTAGAGTCCATATGGGAATAAAATTATAAAAAAATGAAAATTCGAAATTAAATAATAAAAAATATTGGAATGGTATTCTAGAGTCCATATAGAACAAAATTTAAAATTATAAAATAATAAACCACTACCACATATATATCACGTTAGTTTGGTAAGTTAGTACATAATTTAAAATTATGTTATCATTTTAATATATTCTAATAGTAAAAATGTGAAAATCTATATATAATTTCGTGAGAAAAATATAACAATCTACCGGGTGTACTGTTTTACCAATCGGAGAAGAACCCACGACGAAGCCGCCGCCACCGCCGCGCATCGTCTTGTCCATTTCGCAGGACAGAAAAACAGGAGTTCGCAGGTGGCACGCTGCGTTCACCCCGCGATCCTAGTGATCTGATTCAGGCGACTAGTAACTGGCACCACATGATCATGGTTGTCACTCGCGGCTGTCAGACAGCGGAGCAGATCAGCAGAGCACCATATGCGCCATGCGACAAGCTAGCCCATACTGAACTAGTGCTAATTAAATTCCTAACGGGTTATCAATAGAGCGGTTAGCTAGCATAAGCCTTGATTATAGTGGTAAAGTGGGGGAGTGAAGTGCGCTGCTGTTGACACTTGACAGGTAGCTCGGCCTTCTTTTCTCTCTCTCTCTCTCTCTCTCTCTCTCTCTCTGGGATTCTTTCCGTTTGTCTTGTTGTATCTATCTTCTGTCTCCGACATGAGGTGGAGAGCTCGTATTTGGTGGGGGGCCTTGGGCAAGGAAGTGGACGGCCGACGTGTCACGATGAGCCGCAATAATTGTGCTCACAACGTGACAATTAGCAGCCAGTGTTAAAGCAGTGAACATCACCCCCACACACAGCTATTAGTATTGGTGTCGCAGTTGCAGGATCCTATTGGTTACCCATGGTTTATTATAAACCGCAGCGGTTTATTAATAATTAAAAAATAGTTTATAGATAAAACTTTTGCATATATATTTTTTAACTATTCAAAAGTAAATGTTGAAAAACATTAAATTTAAATTTAAAATTTAATTTTTGACAGCGGTTTATAAGTCATGGGGGTTGTGTAGATGTGAATTGTGATCAGGGTTTACAAAATCGTGTGGTTAAACTTCTTATTTTTAAAATCACGATATATCTCGTGATAACCGCACGGTATTCACGGTAACCACGCGGTTACCGCTAGACCGTGGGATCACGGTAAACCCACCCCAAAACGCTTTGGGGAAACTTGCGGCCTGTTATTTACACTTAAATCATGCCACAAATATATAAAGAAATATTAGTAGTACTAATTAATTACCATCCTAATTTAGACCATCTTTATATTGGCCATTTCCGGGAACCCGGGGGAGAATATCACAGGACCCAGGTGTACACAGCTCCGACCAGCTTCCTTCACCAATACCGTTGTCCCACCTGGCTAACTGGCTAACTTTCCTTGTCGCGTACGCAGTCCATGTCCAGGGGCCCCACCTGCAGCCTCACATCACAAAGCCATCAAAACCCCCACCACCCCGACTCCGAAGGCGAAGGCCAGCCAAAGGAAAGGAGAAAGCGCGGCCATGGCGGAAGACGCGCCGCCGTCGTCGCTTCCGCTGCTGCTGCCGCGGAAGTCGTTGTCCTCGTCCTCCGCGCAGCGCAAGCAGCAGTACGCGCGGTGCGTGTCGCACGCTGGGGACGAGCTCCACAGCTTCCGCTCCTGCCTCGCGTGGATGTGCGTCGACCACTCCACCCGCGCCCGCGGCGCCGCGTCGTGGGCGGCCTTCCTCCTCCTCGCCGTCGCCGCCCCGTCCGCGGCCACCCTCGCGCTCCCCTCCCCGGTCGGCGGCGGGGGGTCGCCGTTCGACGGGCAGGTCCAGGTGTCGCTCACCCTGGCCGCCGCGCTCGCCTACCTCACCCTCACGGCGCTCCTCCAGGGCCGCGGCCTCCGCCGCCTGCTCTACCTCGACCGCCTCCGCGACGACTCCGAGGAGGTCCGGTCCGGCTACATCGAGGAGCTCGCGGGCTCCTTCCGCGTCCTCGCCTGCTTCCTCCTCCCCTGCACGCTCGCCGAGGCCGCCTACAAGGCGTACTGGTACCTCGCCGCGCCGCCGTTCCGCTCCCCGTGGTGGTCCGCCGCCGCGTGCGCCGTCGAGGTCGCCTCCTGGGCCTACCGCACCGCCGTCTTCTTCATGGTCTGCGTCCTCTTCCGGACCATCTGCTACCTGCAGATCCTCCGGATGAAGGGCTTCGCGCGCGAGTTCTGCAGGTTCGCCGACGTCGCCGCCGTGCTCGAGAGCCACCGCCGCATCAGGAAGCAGCTCCACAGGATCAGCCACCGCTACCGCCGCTTCATACTCTGCTGCCTCGTCCTCGTCACCACCAGCCAGTTCGCCGCCCTGCTTGCCACCACCAGGCCGCACGCGCAGATCAACCTCGCCACCGCCGGCGAGCTCGCGGTAAATCTTCCTTTTCTGCTCCTCCTTTTTTTTTTACTTCCATTCCGATTTATGTTAAAAGGTAAGCAGTAATTGCTTCCTTCACCGAGAAATCAAGGTGATGCGATTACCGATTTGGTATGAAGATATCAGTAGCATCATGAACGATCTGAATCAGAAATATGCATTGTTCAAAGATGCGATTCACTGCATAATTAGTAGTAGCATTTAGCAGTAAGTAATCACTACAAATTTATCTCTTCAAGATAGGAAAATGATTCGGTGGAAATGGAAACCGCAATTGGATACATGTAAAATTGGGACAGGAATGATGAGAAGGGGCTGAATCGAAGCAGTTTTTAGTAACTGTTAATTCTGCTCTATCCCTGTTTCTTTCTACAAGCTCAGAAATATGAATTCCGCTGTTGGGGATAGTGAAAATGCCAGATCAGGTTGAGCAAGGTCAAGTGGCTACTGGCTAGCCACACTGTAAGTAAAGTTAGTCCTAGAAGAAGCTTGCACGCCCTGAAAAGGAAGCACAAATGTTCAGATAACTCTAGAAGTAGAACAGAACAGTGCATGAACCTCCACCACCCACCACATGTCCACAGCAGACAACTAGATCCACATTCCCATCACCACTCCATCAGTAGTTGTCTGTGTCTCAAAAGGGCTATACAGCTAGCTAGATTTGTATTGCAAAATGTTAAAAGAGACAAATTCCCTGGTAGATGCTTGAGGAAATGCATATTCCTGAAGTTGAATATAGAATGTTATCCTTCAAAAGTAAGATCAGGAAGAACAATTAGGTTGCAAAATGGAATGTTGGAATTTCTGATAAAACTGAAGTATATTTTATAGTGGTCATTCAGTGGGCCTTTTTTTTTATAATGGATAAAACTTGGTCTTTGTTTCAGCCATCTGTTCCTTGAGAATCATTTTCCATATTAAACATAACTCAATGTGTTTGCTCTGATAGTTAACCCAGGAACCCAGCAGTAAATCCCTGCGTTCATCGTGAACTCTGATTTTTACCGTGAGACTTGGAAGTTTTTGCCGGGGGACTTGGAAATTTTCATTCTGTCAGCCACTGGCTTCAGTGGCCTCGGTCTGAGACTCGAGTACCTGACATCTGTTTGTCGCTTCACATGTTGTGCAGCTCTGCTCGCTGAGCCTCGTGGCCGGGCTGCTGGTGTGCCTCCAGAGCGCGGCGAAGATCACGCACAAGACGCAGGCGATCACGAGCGTGGCGGCGGGGTGGCACGCCGACGCCACCATCAACGCCTTCGACAACGACCAGGAGGACCCCAACCCGGACCTCCCCCGCATCGTCGGCTACCTGGTGCCCGTGAACGCCTACTGGATGGCCTCCGGCGAGTCCTCGTCGGACTCCTCCTCCTCCTCCTCCTCCAGCGACGACGACGACTCCGGCCACCCCAAGTCCAAGTACATCCCTTTCCAGAACAACCACTGCTTCCAGCAGAGGCAGGCACTTGGTAAGCGCTCACAACAAAACAAAACAAACAAACAAAAGAACAAACAAACATATGTGAAAGCTGCATTTCATTTCATCAGTTCGTCCTGACCTGATCGATGTGGTGGTGGTGGTGTTTTTTTTGTCAGTGACGTACCTGGAGAACAACCGGGCCGGCATCACGGTGTACGGCTTCGTCGTCGACCGGACGTGGCTGCACGCGCTGTTCATGATCGAGTTCTCCCTCGTCATGTGGCTGCTGGGGAAGACGGTCGGCATATCCTGAGGCCTGAAGGAGCTTTTGCCTCCTGTTGAAGCTTTCAGCTCTCTCTCTGCTCTGCAGCCGTGCCGAGATTTCTGATGATCAAAGATCTCTGCATCGTCTCATATTGCTTCCTGGATTGTACAATACAAAATCGAGTGCAGAAATTGCAGATAATAGTTCAGTTTCTGTGCCATGTCCGGCACAAAAACGAAGCAACAGTTCTGAAGTTTTTAGCTGTATGTTTTTCTTTAAAAATTTTTATGGTTCTTTGTTTGAGGCAGATTCTGATGGAGCATTAGTTGTATGAAAAATAATGGGATGGGATAGTTGTCCAGCTTGATTTGATGAGATTATGAGAGAACAGTGATCGTTGTATACTGTATAGGTTGATTTCATGAAACGATTACAGTGATGTTCAGGTTGACTTTTTTTTTTCCAGATTTGTTCAGGTTGATGTTGTATTCTTGTTGCGTAGGAATCTCTAACGATGAATCATGGTTCTTACAAAGCTCAATGACATCCCTTCCTAGTGATTAGATCATTTCTCATATAAGGGCTTGTTTAGTTCCAAACTTTTTCTTTAAACTTCCAACTTTTTCATCACATCAAAACTTTCCTACACACATAAACTTTCAACTTTCCATCAAATCATTCCAATTTTAACAAAATTTTCAATTTTAGCGTGAACTAAACACACCCTAAATGTTTCGCAAAATTCAAAATTGCCCTGTTTAGTGCACACCAAACTTCTCCCAAACTTCCAACTTTCCATCACATCCAAAACTTTTCTACACACATAAACTCCTAACTTTTTTTCCAAACTACTCCCTCCGTCCTAAAATAAGTGCAGTTTTGCATTGTTCATGTTCAACTTTTGACCATTCGTCTTATTTGAATTTTTTTTATGATTAGTATTTTTATTGTTATTAGATGATAAAACATGAATAGTACTTTATGTATGACTAATTTTTTTCAAATTTTTCATAAATTTTTCAAATAAGACGAACGGTCAACGTCGGACACGGTTCCCCACGACTGCACTTATTTTGGGACGGAAGTAGTACCAACTTTCCCCAAACTTCTTCTCAATAGCAACAAACTGATATGACTGCTGTAGCGTTCCTGTCAAATCAACAGTAACAGGTTGCAGCATGGTAACAACAAACAAAAGATATGCTCATGGATGATAATAATAGCTAATAAGTCGCTAGGATCAAACGTGCGATCCACTAGAACATGGATACAAAACGGCAGCACATGACAAGCAAATATGCCCAATAAGTTTTCATGATGTTCATGTTTTGGAACAGCAATCGCTGCCAAACAAAAAAACCCATTTGCGTCGATCCAATGGAAGGAAAAGAAAAGGGCATTCACAAAATCCATGCAAGGCAGCACCGGAAAAAAGCAGCACTGTTTTTGCCCTATATAGGCATGAGCAGTGCCCTAACAGAGATCTCCGTCCAACCTGTATCCTCGGTTGCTGCCTGTCTCAGCAAAGAAAAAGGTACTGGAAGAACATGATGATCCTCTGAAAACCAGGCATCAAATGCCGCGGTATGTTATTTTGCCTCCCTTGCGGATGGATAGAATGAACAGAACCCGTGGTAGCTCCCTTTCTTAGATGCCATGTGTTGACCTTACATGAGTCACCACAGGATGGTACCGCCGCGAAGTCCTCCCTATGGCCCGAATACCACTGACACGTCCCCTTCGAGTGTTAGCTGAATCATGCTGGATATCAGAGGCAGCGACCGAGCTAGCTGTGACATTACGCCTAGGCCTCTCCCTGTACCTTCTGTAAGCTCTGGTGTATGAATCACCACTGGCAATTCTCCTGCCATGGCCAAATAAGGATGCCAAGAAGTCAATGCTGTCATCCAAACTACTATCTGATGACTCATAGAAGTCAAGCCTCTCATTCAGAGTGCGATCTAAGGATGTGAAGAAGTTGAGCCTCTCCTCCAAGTCATCTCCATCAGAAAGTAAATTGTTGTTGCTGCCACCATTAAACTCAACCACATAATCTCCCATAATGACAGCCCCTGGGGTCATGCTTCTGATAGTGCTAATGGCATCCTGCCGCTCTCTTTCACATTCAAACTTTTTCCACTCATCTGCATGTGCAGGATCAACTTCACGAGGTTTTGCTGAAGGATGCTTGGAATTCACATGCTTGCAAAGTTCTTTGTATGAACCAATGAATGAGCAGCCATCATGCATACAGGCTCTTTTCTTGCGATTGAGATACTGGCGAGCTGGTTCGACCACAGTCCATCCTTTGACATCCCCACGACAAAGAGGGCATGCAAGTTCCATTGCACATTGTTGCTTGCTGGCTGGCTGAGAATTCAAAGATAATGAAAGGCCAGGTGAAGACTCAATTAATACACTGTGGGCCAACTTCTCCTTTGCGTAAGCTTCTTTGAAGTGTTCGAGGCAGTTAGAATGCTGGTGGTTGGTACCACACATATATGGCCGGCAACCCTTGTGGTGAGAAGTACAGAGGAGGAGGACAGCATCATGTGGATGCTCCAGGCAAACTGGGCAAGAAGCTCCTTTCCATTCTTTTTTCTCAGAGACCAATGCTATATCATTTTGCTCGCATGTTCCTTTCATCTTCCAGCAGCAGGAAGGTAAATCACTAGAAGATGAAGATGATCCACGTCGACGAGCTGGGAGGTTCCGGCCCCTTGGAGATCTACCCATCTCTTCAAAATAATATAAGTAGGGAACTGCAGGATGGAAGGACAATTATATGTCAATGCTACATATTAAAATTGCGACTCTTGCACACTATTCAGGTGCTACTGAAGAATGCATGGACATAAAATTACCACCTGCACTTAAGTTTAGGACCCATTTATGTTAATGACTTAATGCTACAAATTAAAGTTGTGACTCTAGCACTCTATTCTAGTGATACTAAAGCATGCATGGATATAAAATCACTGCCTGCACTTAAGTTTAGGACCCATTTCGAAAGTATGATTCTCTCAAAGATATCATACGAGACACCATATCCAGTTAGTAGGAATTTCTGTTCTATGTAATCCCAATGCTACAAACAGGGCCTTAGATATTCAATTGCCACCAGAATAAATGGTAGGAAATTTACATATTTTGTTAGCAATAGATATGATATTCTTTGTACAGACTGCTAGGGCAACTTACTTTTGCTGCACAGATCCTATATACAAAAAGCTGGAGATTCTTATGGAGGGTAACAAATAAAGGATGGTTTCGGCAAATTCCCCTCCCATGCATCTGATTAACTTGACAAACATGGTGGAAAACTGAGACTGAGAGACAAGGAGCATCCAGCATGAAGGCAAGCTACCCAGTATGCATTCACCACTACAACCACACTTATCTTCCATAGTCCGCATTCACCACTGCAGTAAAGCCATACTTATCTTCCATGGAACATATTAGACAGCCTGAACATCACTTGGGGACATGCACAAAATGGGGGAAATGCAATAAAGAGAACATGAAAGAAGTTTAGGTAAATTTATTTAATTCAATCTGAAGCTATGGGAGTTTTCTTTAGTGTAAATTTTGTATCATACCTAAATGTCTTTAGGATATTAAAAAATAATTATTTCCACTAGATATGTCCCAAAAAGCGTATTGGGACCTTCATAGTTTAAACTCAACTGGCCTTTCACATGAAGCTTGCTAGGCATACAACGGAAAGTAGTAGAGTATGATACAATCAATATTGAACACACAAAACACACTAAAAAAAAATCAAAACCAATCATCAAAGCTATGCATATGGAAAATAGGTAAACCTTCAAAGCTCTGTAATATATCTGAAATGAAGCATCAAAATGAAGAAGAAAAGAGTACGATATTTTTCACATACATCAGAAACAGATTTAGCACATAATGTAACACAAACAATTGTACAGGCACATTCCCAGTGGCGGATCTAACATGGGACATGGGGGTTCGGTTGAAACCCCCCAAACCTTTTTGGGAACCATCAAACTGCTACTAGTATTAAGGTTAAGGCAAATTTCAAGAACGGAAGCTAGGGTTAACGCAAATTCGAGAAAGAGTGCGTGGGTCGAGAGAGAGAGAGAGAGAGAGAGATGGGAAAGAGGATCTGCGTACCGGATGCGGCGGAAGCAGCAGGGCGAGCGACGGCGACCCTCCTCGCTCGCTCGCTCGCCGGATGGATGGATGGGGATCGGCGGAGGCGGAGGCGGAGGCGGCAGCGGTGGGGAAGGGCAAACTGACGAGGTGGAAACTCACAGGATTACAGTACTCACTCACTAATGGTGAGGGTAAGTTAGTAATTTCGCCTAGTACTTAATCCCCCCGGATTGTTTGCACATACCATCCCCACGACCCCACCCTACCCAAACGTGGAAATCTGAAAATTTGAAATAACTAGAAAATGAGCTGACCAATTATAACTCAATATTTGTTATTTACGGTGTGTTTGATTCACGGTCATGCATGGATGGGATACGGCCATTCATATTTTATTGAACTAGAATAAATACCCGTGTGTTGCAACGGGTGAAGTCTATTTTAATTTTGTTGTTGTCATATAGTTTTAGTTAAGATGAAATTCGCTGTGGGAGTTCGCTTGGATATATATTTTATTAGAAAATCATGAGCTGCAGTTAGTAGTCCGATCGTCTCAAGTTAGCATGCGAGTTTTTTTAAACATATTTCTTATATGATTCCTTTTGTATTACTAAAAAGTGAATGATCTTAAAAAAGACTCAGATACGGATATGTATTTTCAAAAGTAAATAAACTTAAAAACCGACTAATACACGGATGACGTATCAAAATACCGACAAAAACATCTTCAGTTTTTATAATAGTAGAGATATGGCGATCTAAATTTTTGTTTGGTTTGTATATATATGATGACCAAATTTCTTGTTTGGTTGGAGGGATATAGTATGGATGGGAAAAGCCAAAAGTTTGTCATATATATTTTTTTATCAAAATATAATCATCCGATATCTTATTTAAAGATTTAATTATAGTAACAAATATAATTGTGTAATCAAATCATAAATTAGATAAATGGTTTAGGAGAAAAAATTTTTGGAGCTTTCTTAACAAAAAAAATCAAACCAACCGCGACCAATCAGAATAGGACAAAAACTTGATGGCTTCATCCAACCAAATCGGTCGGATGCACTCATCCAGCACATTGAGGGAATATTCCTTATTCCGGGCAGCCCCGTCCACCCTACCCTTCAACCAAAAAAAAAAAGGCGGCCATCTCCTATCCAGGCTACATAGTTTCTCATCATGTGTTGGTTAGCTTATCGGTTGTAGCCAAAATAATTAATTTTTTAGTGGCTTTAGTTTTCTTTTCATCATAGATTATTTTCCATCATTTTCTTTTAAACCCGCTACTAACATTGATATATTATCATAAATTATTTTTATTGCTTAGTTTATTTTTATATGCTTACCAATAATAGCTCAAACGATTAATAATATATCCTGATTAGTGGGTTTATTGTGCTATATAGTCTTGTTAACTTTAATAAATAGCTCAAGATGGTGTTAGGGAAAAGGTTGAGGGATGTTTTTGATAAACCTTGAGTTCCACTTTACACTCACGGCTGTTGTTGGCCCGATCTTTCGATGAGTTGATAATAACTACGATTTAGGAGAAACGTTGATGACCCGACTACAATCGTATAAGACGTTGCATTGCGCCTTATCGATCGATACACCTCTCCGTGGGTTGTTGATCTTGCCGATACAGATCAACCTTATTCCAGCAATAAAAGCAATCTGAATTACAAATAGGAATTGATGCAGATCAACCTTATTCCAGCAATAAAAAGAAAGCATAATATAATCTAGAATATATATCCATTTTCTTCTTGTTTTTATTAGATTAATTTCAAGTAACGTTGTCGGAGACAAAGTTTATTTCAATATGCAGAATGAGGATAAACCGATCTCATGAGGATATACGCATTTGTGTTGCTTACCTAATTGGTTAAAAGGAAAATATTTCTTCACTAAATCAACACTTGTTAAAGAGAGTTAATAAATTAATCTCAGCTGGTAGAAACAAAGGGGTGGTAAATATTTTTGCAACAGCACCAGGTGGTTTTAGCAACGACGACAGATCTCCTCCCGCTCCGTGCCAGTCCCGGCGGTAGCGGTGGCGGCCAAGGCGGAGGCGAGGAGGCACGTTGGGCGGCAGGCGGTGGCGAAGAAGATGGAGAGTTCGTCCGGGTTTGACTTGCTACTGTGCATTCGGTTTGTTTTACTGCTGATGTGTGACCTACGTGTGGGCTACTGTACTGCAGAGGTGCAAGGGAAAAACAGTCAGGTCACTATGGAAATGGATCCTCTGACTTTGGCTACAAAGTCACGGCCGTGCAGTTGGGTGATATCAGCCGTTGAGCCAATCTGACGGCTCTTATTTACGTGCCTTTGCTGATTGCCGAAGCAGGCCAAGCCGGCTGTAACATCTTCAAATTTTAAACTATAATTTGATTGCATCATGCTGGCTTTTGACTAGATTAGGGTAATTTAAAAATTTATTTGATTCTTAATTGGTTTAAGTGTTACTTCTTAGAACTCTACTAATTTACCCTAACTATTCCCTTTATTTTAAACCTTAGTGAATTTGAGCAAATTCTCTCAAATTCCAAACTTCAAATTATTCCCTTAGTTTATCCTATTAATAGTGAGAATTTGCTATACTTCAAACCCTAGTGAAACCCCTCCAAACTCAGAGATTAAATTCATTCTTTTCTAGGGAAATATTTAAAAAATTCTGAAAACACTGTTCATTGCACTCAAGGTGCTCGATGAAATGCCTAGCCCAGCTAGAGCAGCCCAACCTCTACCCAATCTTGCACAAAGTTTAGATATGGTCCTTGGGGACCACAATCTACTCAAAGCCGTGGTTTTCTTTGTCTCTTCCTCCCCTTCACGCATGCTGCCTAGCGTCCGACTTAGCCACGCGCCGAGCCGCCGCGTGTCGGCCTCGGGACCGCTTGCGCGTGCCCAACCGCCTTGGCGCACCGCCAGCCGCACGACGCTCTCAGACCGCCGCCGCCACACCAATTTTGGCGACGACAAAGCCGGGACTACCTCCGCCGCACGACGCCGTGCACGCCCGTCCAAAGCCGCCGCCGAGTCCGATTTTGATTCTACCCGGGGTGAATCGAGCCAAGACTTGCCGCACGGTTGAATTAAAGATAGACTGTGGTTTCCCCTCTCACAATTCAAACCAATCACCGCCGAGCCGGCCATTTTAACCCTCGTCGCCGCCGCGCGTCGCGCCTAGATTGGCGCCAACACGTCGCCAGTCGTTTCTACCCGTGGTCAAGCCAATCCTTCGTCGGTAAGTATTCGAACGTGGCCTCCCGCCACTCAAATTGATCTTGCCCGCCCTCTCACAGCCTCTGCCACCTTTGCCCCATCCAATTCCCGAGCTCATCCATGGCGATGATGGCGTCTGAGCTCATCCTTTCCCCCTGGCCCTATAAATAGGACCCCAATCCCTTCCTTGTCCATCATCGATCATCAACAACCATAGCCCCACAACCCCGAAGCTTTGCTTCACCAATCCATATCATCAACCATTCTCGCTCGTCGGTCGAACACCTTGTGCGCGATCGACTCCACGCCCTTTCAACCATCCTCCACCCTAAATAACCCTTAGAACATCTTATATCAGCTATGTTCTATCATACTAAGTCCTAACCGAAGCCCTGCATCGAGCTCTACCTCGCCGCACCGAGCGGAGCACCGTCGCCCCTGCTCTGCTCTGTTTTTCGCCGCCGAGAAGTTTTTCCGGCCGCAATCCTTCATCTCAGCTTATCTCGGTGAGTTCTTTCGTTTAAACCATCTATATACTCCCTAGATTCCATTTTAGCAATTAGTTTGCACTACCATGCCACCCTCTGGGCTGCCGACGTGAGCACGATCGCCGCCAATGGAGGCGCTCGTCGGCAAGTATTTTTTGCACCTTGCCGAAGGTCGGCAAGCTACCTAAATCCCTCTAGGAACTTCGTAGATGCTCTAGGAGCCCTCCCCGAGCCTTGTCTAACTCTCACTACCCCGAACACCTTCACAGCTTAACCATGTCACCGCCACCCTAGCCGCCAGCCCAACCACATACCAAATTAACCCCTCCGCTGCCGCTCACCATCGCTGGAGAACCCTAGCTCCCTCCCCTCCTCGGCCGCAACCCCTTCTCTCCTCTATCGCCGCTGCAATCCCAAACCCTAGCGCCGCCGGCCGCATTTGGGGATCGGCTGGAGGTTGAAGAAGAGAAGAGAGAGAGAGAGAGAGAGAGAGAGAGACTGACAAGTGGGACCCACACACAGTGCCATTTCACATTTAATTGATTTTCAAACTTTAGAAGCCAATATCTTTTAAAATATAGATCCAATTCCAGTGAAACTTGGACAAAAATTCTTCTAAAATCATTCTCTATCTTTTGAGACCCCTTTTGCTATTTTTCTATTTTATTCTATTTTCTCTATTTTTCTTATTTTTGGATTTTATTTGAATTCCTTTTGAATTTGAATTTTATATGTCTAACCCTAGGTCTTGAGGATTCTTCTGACATACTAGATAATATCAGTCAATCTCAGGACATTGAGCAAGGCCAGTTACTATACACCTTTTGATCATTTAAGCCTATATTTTATAAATTATTTATTTATAGCCTTCTATTCAATACTCTATTTTATATACACAATTTAACCATAGAAACCCAGATAATTTAGTATTGCTTATTTTGCTTACAATCTGGCTAAAATATCTTATCCTTAGATTGGGACAGTACGTTAGAATTGGATGATTTCCGGGTGGATAGTATTGTCTCGATCGATATAGTTATTACCAGGTACTTATGTCGAACAAACGGGTACGACCGCAGTTTCTAGAATGCGGACAGACCTATTTATTATGTTAATTAGCAATGTGGTACCTCTGTATAGTGGTTCTTATTTTTAAGTCCTCGCACAGGAGGCAACTATAGCCGCGAAGAGCAAATTTAACCATTACCATGTATAGGTAAATGGTTTGTGATACTCAAGTA